AACGAGGCAACTGTAAATCGTGCTAACTTAGATTCGAAGATCGTGTTTTAAATCAGAGTCAAGGGGCGCATCAATAGTATCCAAGCCCTCTCAAGATCGACCTCGAATACTGGGGGCCATCACCCTCGGAGTTAAGGTTCTTAACAAGAAAAGGAGGAAACTTTGTACTTGAACAACTTAGGATCGATGGTTAGAATTTATTGTAGAGGCCAAACGGTCAAGTGAACCATGCCTGGATAGGCCACCTTAGCAATAATACAAGCTTTTACATGCTTTCGAATATGTACTTTACATACATAAATGAAAGAAAGTTTCCACCTTGCTATTACATATTTTTGCTTCTTCAAATATCGAGCCTAAGGGCTACCTCTATTCGTGGACTATCGTACAAGAGGGCTATCCCTATTCGAGGACTATCGGGCCTAAGGGCTACCCCTACTTGGGGACTTTCGTCCGAAATAAAGTCGGTCAACTCGGGCTAACAAATCCCAGAGGCACAAGACCTATTAAGTACTGCCTAAACACGAAAGGCTATGACCACCCTAAAGAACAACTCGTAGACATCCGAAAGCTCGTAATCAGAACATAAGGCCTTTATAAAAATTCAAAACCTGCTAAAAGGTTACCCTCAGCAAAAACATCATCTAAAATTACTTAAGTATCTTGGGAAAATTGCCGGTCACACTGAGTTTTTAAGGCCTCGAGCAAATAAAGTTACATCGAAGCGGGACTCTGTTCGGACGTATGAAAAACGAATGACTTATTACTACATTTGATTCTATGCTAAGGCATTAGAGATGTTTGCAAGAATAGAAATTATGAAAAAATGCTAAAAAAGTAAAGACTTGAAATTGCCAAAAAGGGAAATTTTATATATTCTGGAATGTATTTACAAAGGCCCAAAAGAACGGCCTCAAAATAAAAAAAACATACACGAAATAAAAACTAAAAAAGTTCTAAGGCACCCATGCTGATCTTCACTAGTGCCCGACTCGTTGCTAGAATCGCCGGAGCCTTCAGACCCCTCAAAACCCTCGGAGCCTTTGACACCTTCAGGCTCGAAAAGTTTCTTCACCTCGGCCTCAAGCCTTATTGCTTCCTCGATGTCGACCGAAAGGTCGAAACCTCAAGCAGGAATTTCTTCAAGGGTCTCCCTTCGAGACAGCCGCCTCATATATTCAGCATTGGTCTTTAGGCGAGCCTCGGCTACTTTGACATCGGCCTTGTATTGGGCCACCATCTCATCAACATCGGTAGTTGTTGTCTCCAACTTGGACTTTATTGCCTCGTGCTCTCTACCGAGGGTGTTTCGCTCTGTGATAGACAAGCTCAGCTATGGTCGGAGGTCCTCATACAACTGAGCTCGCTTGTCAGCTTTCTCCTTCGCCACCCGAAGTTGAACCTCTACCGATGTCAGCTTTGCCTAGGCAGTTTCCTTTTCTGGCATTAGCCGATCTCTCTTTATTTTCCACCCATCGGCCATAGCTTGGATCTCGTTCATCTCCTTTTGGAGTTGGTTGATCTAGTCGATCTTCTGTTGGACCTACGAGGTTTTTTCGTTAGCCACTTAGGCTAGTTCTCCTTTCCTACTTGGGCCTCCTCAAGCATGGACTCGGTGTAGGAGGGCGTCCCCATAATTTCTATTACATCGGGCACTTCCTTCGGAGCAGTCGGCGTCCCAGGGGGCCCTACCCCCATCTCCATATCGGCTTCCCAAGTCTGAAGGGGTCAGTCTCATGAATCTCCCCCTCGGTTGCCGCTTGCTCCCCGAGAAGGGTCGATCCATGGGCGATAAATATGTCATCTTCTTTCGACTCATCCCTAAGCCGGAGAAGCTAGTCAAAATCTAGCACTCGGGAGTTGGTACTCTTCTTGGGCTTACGAGCCACACTCTTCGTTGGCTTCACCTCGAGACCCGGGGAGCCTGAAGATTATCTTTTCCTTCTCTTCTTTTTCCCCGCGGTAGCCCCGGGCTGTCCTGTAACGGAGGGATCAACGGGCAATGATACATCCTTATCCCCTTCCAAAGGTCTAATCTCGGTGGTCTTAGGCAAATCTATGAAAGAAAAAAGAAAGGTCAGTATGATGTGAGTTAAGAGCACGATAATTGCTATTTGAAGGAGAACCATACCATGAGAACGAGCCTCCCATCGGCCCTTCGAAAGCTTGCACCATGAGTGTTCGAAGTAGGACATCTGTTTGCAGATGCCTTTGATCCACTTCTTGAGCCAGGGGACCGCATTTGGAACCCGGGCAACAGCTGCACAACCACAAGTACGAATGATGAGAAAGGAATTGAAGAAAAATTGACACTTCAGGAAAGGCTGCACTTACGAGATGCATTCCACTTCTCGGGGAATGGCATGAACTCAGGAGGGATCAAGTTTTTGGTCTTCACCAGGACAAAGCACCCCCCAGCCTCGGTCTCGATCTTCGTCGATGCCCGAGAAGGGGGCCTTGCTGGCCCAACGAGTGAGCTTGATCATTCCCCCTCGGAAAATTCGGGGACTGTATAGATAGAGTAGGTGGTCGATGGTAAACCGATAAGACTCGGTGTTATTCACAAAGTAGCGAAGGAGGACTACAATCCTCCAAAGAGGCCGGTGGATTTGCCCAAGGCACAACTCGTATCTCTTGCAAAAATCCAAAATAATTAGGTCTACCGGTCCCAGTGTGAAGTTGTAAGTGTAAACACTTAAATACCCCTCCACGTGGGTGGTAATGGCATCCCCGAGCCCGTAGACTACTACATCTTTGCCTTCCCAATTGCAGTCCTTACGGACTGTGGAGAGGACGTCTACGGTAACAGAGCATATATACCTCGATGCTCCTTCACCCCGATCCTATTTGGATGAGGGTTTCTCAACCTTGAAGTCGTCCGCAATAGAACAACCCCCAAGAATAAACATTTTCAAGGGGGCTCGGGAGCCGATTCGGCAGCACGCGACTCGGTGGCAACCACTTATGAAGCAGCCGCCTTGAGGACAACTATTTCGGGAGCGACTACCTCAGCACCGGCGGTCGGTTAAGAAGATGAATAGGCAGCCTGTTGGGGAGCTGATTTGGAAGTTTTAGCCATTGTTGTCTGGTAAAATTTGAAGATTTGAAGAAAAAGTATGAAGGTTTGGAAGAACAAGTTTGAAGGCTGAACAACAGGGTATGAGGAATTGAAGGAGACCTGGGCAAGAACCTAAGAAAAATTATGAAGATTTGAAGATCAAAAGACGAAGATATGAAGGTCAGAAAGAAGTTGATAATAGCTAGGAAGTTCGAAGGTAATAGCTTGATCGGAAAGTAGAAAAAGAACAAAGGATGGAAGCTTTTATGGGGAGGTACACGACGCTTCGCATTCAGAGGCAACCAGCCGATGGTTGACGCATGTCCAAAGTCAGAACGACACGACTGAGGGGACGTTTCGACTTCTTCGTCGTTTCTTTTGTAAAGGAGAAAGGAACCAAAGAACACCTGTCGTTTCCCATCATTTCGATAACCTACTCTCTGAGAAATGAGAGGACTATCTATATACGGGTAAAACCGGGGCAAGTAAGCACCTCGATTTGCCAGTTGGGTTAAACGAAGCAAGGACATAACTGCATGAAATCAGGATCAAAACTGATAACCTCTCGTACTAAGGCCCAAATGAAGCGCTTACCACCGGGGTCATCAAGACAACCCCCCCTCCAGAATTCGGTACCGGCTCCAAGACTGAAAGCTCAACCAAATAGTTGCACACGGCTAACGAAGGGTCGTGATATCCGCGCCCAACCGGATATCACATCGTGGATTTCGGCCAGTATCGGTAGCAGTCAGTGATTACGGGAAAGAAGATTTTTACCTTTTTTAGAATTGTACTTTGGGTAAAACTCTCCTACTATATAAAGGGGAAGTTATTAATATACACTGTAACACACATATCAAGGCAATATAAACTTGTTTTCTATATTTCTAAGCTATTCAAAGGTTCTTATTGTTGTTCATAACTTTTCATATATATATCGGCTATGAATCGAAGGCAGATAAATTGTTAAGCCCACGACCAAGCCCGAATTCAATACTACTGCTGGTTTGGCTGTTTATCCTATCTTTTATTTGCTTATCTAACATTATTAATCACTTGTATCAGATTAATCCACATATTCTTAAAACCGCGTATAAATTCAATTGTTATTCATTTTAAGGGTGAATACTTATAACTTATATCCAATCTATTATTAATGTCTTAAATTTGAGGATTCAGTTACATTTTTTTCCTTTTTTCTCTCCTCTTCTCTATCCCTATTCAATGCCGCCTCTTTCCTCAAAATAAAAAAGAGAAGATGAAAGTCTACGGAAGTCAAGTCATCTGGGCAACGAATGTAAGATTTTAATAGAAAGTCGTGTTTTTAGGTAATGCACAAGCTTTTTAACTTCTTCTTTTTCTTCTTCTTAATATAGTCTAATCACAAGTAGTTGTAATAATCAAGATAACTAAACTTTGTGTCACGTTCCAAAAGGTCTAATAAGCCGGAAAATGCAGTTAGAGGTCCAAAAGTTGTACTGGATACCAAACATTGAAAAAGACACTCTCTATATGTGGTATAACTGTTGGAATTTCTAAAAGTATACCAGACGTAATTAGCATTACATATAATTGTCACGGGCGCTTAGGAACAAGTGCTCTCAAGTAAACCTCATCGGTATTTTACAGAAAATCGGATAGAGTTTTCTCTGTTTTTGGACTATCCCAAAAACTTCTCTGTCTCAAATCAGCAACCAAACATCCTAATAGCAATTTAATTGAAAATGACTTTATCAATTAACCAAAATAAATATTTACCTTTAATAGTCCACCTACTAACAACTGAAAATACTACTTTATCTCCAAATTTGATAAGAATGAGCGATACTCAACATAAGTCTATAATAACAAAGAAATACTCAAGATACTAAAAGAATGACCATGAAGCGACTCTAAGAGTTCAAAGAAAAGACCATAACAATTGATAAAATCTCTGACCACGCGAACAAGTGCGAGGCTCACCAAGAACTATCAACTTGTGCGCTCTAATTGATGAAATTCTCGCCCGCGTCAACTGCTATCTCTATAAAAAAATTAGCGGAGAATAAATCGCTAGCTCAGTGAGTAATAACACTTAACCACAACCGTTTTTATTGGAGACAAGTCAGAAAACATGCTAGTATATCAAACATAAAACAACATAAAAATGACCTTTCAGAAACAATAAACAATTTTCAGTCTCATCATGCTTTTCTTGTAGTATAATACAATTAACAGTGCAGTAATAAGCTCGGTAACCACTGTATAATATCAATATTCACATTTGAGAGGTGTCAATAAACGGACCATGTAATCGGTATAACTGTGGACTTCTTCACAAGAAGTCAAATATAACGATAGTCCCTACTCGAGGGAAATCGGTAACGGTATGCTAGTTCTACCTTCCCACTAGCAAGGGCTATAACGGTAATCTATAATTACAAGGTGCACCAGGTCTAACGAATCCGCCGTTAGCTACGAGATCCTTCAATGTCTACTCCCATTTATACTTGTCTTTGTAATCCGTATATACTCGTAGAAAATATTTTAAAACAATATAGGGCATTTCGGTTTTTATCAAATCATGTAATTTCGTTTCAATAACGGTAATCTTATCTCAAGTAACAGTAAAACGTATTCAGTAACAATGAGAATATTCAGAATAACTGTAATCGTCTAAAATAAATATAGTAGTATCATATCGAGTAAAAGACTTGTCCCACATGCAGATTCAAATCAGTTGGTAACATGCTCATATTAAAATCATATGTAAATCATGCTAGTTATAAAAATACAAATTGAGGTAAAGTTATTGCTCACCTCTCAAAGCCAACTAACCAAAGCTCGACTTCCTATTGATCCAATTGCTCAATTCGTGTGCAATCTATAAATCATATAAGTTTAGTGTTACCATCAATTGACCCCGAAATTCACTAAATTTAAGTGATAGCGAATTACAATTGTTGTAACCCACATCTTAGCGTCACTTAAGGATATTGTACGTTCAACGATCATAATACTATTAAAATAAATTTTCAACAGTTGCTTCATTCTAGGTTCATAGTTATTCAGGAACTAATTTGTTTCACATGGAAATTCATGTTACTATTACCCACCAAAATCAGAGTTCCAAACTCAATCCTAATTTTAAATTTTACTAAACATGGTCTAGTTTCTGTATATAAAGATACTAGTTTAACTAAAATATATTGCTATCTTCTCCTTCTTTTTTTATTCTAAAACCTCCAGTTGTTTTTCCCCAATTCTCAATCAAATCACACCCTTGTAATTACCCAAAATTACCATAAAATTCTATATCAAAAATTAATATTGCCACAGTAGATGGAAGCTTGCTTATGGTTACCTGGAACTCTATTGTTGAGGCTCGAAAATATATGCCAATTTCCTTTTTGATTAATCACGATGTTGCTCCTATAAGCAGCGAAACTTTTCTAAGTTTGATGCTTTAGTGGCTAAGGGTTTTCAATCCCTTATTGAACGCCACAATCTGATGGGCTTTAGCATATTTCCCTTCTTTTGTATTATTTTATTCTTTTGATCTTATTTTATTTGTTTTGCTTCCCTTTTTTTTTTTGGCTAATGACCAATACATCCTTATTTAAAATATAGGTATTACAATAATCAACATATTAGGTTACATTAACAACTAGCTTTTCTCACATAATCAATAATATATATACTAAAAACGAATTTTATACAACTAATTATATAGTATACAATTTATTTATAACTTATTTACAATTCATACATTATTTTTATCCAATTAAAAACAACTACAACATCATACAACTTAAATATATTTTTCATACAAAATATGTCTTTTGTATGTATTTTGAATATATTTTGTATGTGGTGTGTTCTTCTTCTTCTCTGAAATTCCAATCAAAACTTTCTCTCTTAATACAATTTTGATACAAATCAACAACTTCATGTAAGAAAAAAATATTTATAAATAAAATACAAATTTCATACAACGATTCATATATTATACAAGTATTTTTCAACTTTCAAATAAAAAAAAAATATAACTACAACAGAACACAACTTAAATACAATTTACATACAATTATAATATAATTTTTATACATCTTCAAGTTTCAATCTGAAAATTAATTCAAAATCAACTCTAATCTTCATCAAACAGCTTCAAAATTGAGAGATAAAACTCCAAAGAATATTCCCGGTTGTTTTCACAACACCCAAGTAATAATTTTAAAAATCGAATTCAAAATCAAAGGCTTTCAATGGCAGGCGGGGCAACGGATAACGAGTTGTTCGATTGTAATAAGCGACGACATCAAATTTATTGAATTCTCTGAAGAATAAAAAAAAGAAAAAGGAGATGAGAAAAAAGAATATTCCCGATTGTTTAGCCGCAAAGGTTGGCCGAGTTGGTTGGTTGGGTGATTTCCTACATGGGAGACTTAAGATCGATTCCCTCACCAGCAGTCTCCTCAGCCAGAGCTCGTCGCACCGCGCATGCCTAGTGCGGTTTACATCTCCTGTGTGGTTTGCGAGCTATTGCACAATGAGCAGGTTGCCCAGTGCGCACCTGAAGGGTAGTGACTGTGGGTTTCCCTGAGAATTTTTTAAAAAGAAGAAGAAGAAGAAGAGAATCATAGAGATCCAAAGAAGAAGAAGTCGGGCAGAAAAAGAATATATAGAGAGAGAGATCTGCGGAAGTGGTAGACCTGTGTAATTTGATTTCCACATTAATTAAAAGGCTACAATCAAGGATACTCATTTAAAAACTTATATGTATATAACTGGTAAATTATATTTCAACTTATAATTAAGTTAAAACCTAAACAATAATGGTAAATAAGTTTCTAATGTAGTATATAAACATTGTATAGCCACTCTCAAAATAATAGCCGAAAAATAAAATTTTTTTGTATATATATATATATGTTATATATAAAAATTATACAAATTTTATATACTTTTGTGGCTACCGAATATAAATAATTTGCAGCAGGTTAAAAATGATCTTGGAAAAAACAAATAAACAAATTGGGCTAAGCGAAATAGTCCCATCACTTTTTGTTGGGTTCTCTCACCTGCACTTTTCGTAAAGGTAAAAAACAAAATTTAGAGTATATTAAAAGGATGTAGGAATTACTATAATTTGAGTAGTAGGACAATAATAAAGGAAGAAAGATATCCATTGCACAATAAAATGGTAAGGAATCAATTAGTCAAATTAAAATTACAACTTGTTACCATTTTTGTATGAGAAATTCCACATGACACCAAAGCCAAACTTTGCCTTTTCTCTTCGTTCATTCATTAATCCCTTTCACAGAAATTCATAGAAAATTATCAAAGGAAGAAGAAAAGTAAAAGGGAAAAAGTAAGAACAAAAAGGGAAGAAGAAGAAGAAGAAGAAGAATGAGGGCATGGTCATCAACTTCTTTAAAGCTTTTATGGTTTATTTTGCCATTGCTTTTGATCGCTGGTTTTGTTGTTGTCACTGGTCCACAGGGTTCTATTTATAATTGGCTATCAACTTCTCACTATTTATATAGTTCTTCAACTTCAACACTGGTGAGTTTTTGTATAATGATGAAACAATATTATGCATAAGAAAATGATATTTACTTTCTTACTTATATTAAGTCCTCAATTCCCCTATATCATGTGGATGATGAATTCAGGATTTAAAATTTATGGGTTTAACTTTTAAAGTTTTAACGTTGAACTCATATATTTTTTAAGTTATGGATTCATATCTATTATTTTTATAATTTTAATTAATTTTATATATAAATTTATACTTTGCTGAAAGTTATGAGTGGCCTGCACAGTTCGTCATCAATATTCTTCAAGGAATAAAAAAGAAGACGGAAACATTGTTATGTAAATATCATTCCAAAGGGGAAAAGTGTGGTGCATAACTTGGAACTGGTTTTCTCATTATTTTAATTTGTTTATATTTTTAGATTGATGTAAAAACCTTGGAGCGAAAGCTCAATATTACCAACATGGGTTGTGGTGGAATGGATATGATTCCTCCACCCTTAACCAAAGATTTCTGGTTTGAGCCCTGGACATAAAAAAGTCCTATTAGGGAGCGCTTCCCCCTTAAGCCTTAACCGGCGTGAATTCAAATGTGCGGATAACAAAACCCGAGTGGGTAACCCAACCAAAAAAGAAAAACTCAGCATTACCCAAAATAATCTTGATGTGTTTCGACCCTGTATAGCTGCCTCGTTAATACTCCATGTTGTTATTCTTCCAAATTTTCCATAGTTTTCTTGATCATTTATATCATATTTCATGACCATACTTGTTTAAAATCGTTATTAGATGCATAATCGTTAGGATTACAACAATCTTAAAATTTTAATGGACCATGATCATGTTGTATGATATTAGAAGTTTATGATTTGGTGTTGTCATAAATACTTACCATGTGCTAATTGTTCATTTATTGTTAACCAGAAGGATGAGGCCCCAAATGTTACTTTGAGCTCAGTCGCACCAAAAAGATACAGCAAATTAGAGAAATTGGAAGCAGGTCTTGCAAAAGCTCGAGCTACAATATTAAGAGAAAACAATAATTGGAATAATCAGACAGAAGATGAATATATACCTCATGGTCCTATGTACTTAAATGCTACTGCCTTCCACAGGTAAGAATTTACATACCATTCACCGCAAGTTTTGTTTTTTCCTACCCGATGTTCGATATAACTAATTCTACGTAAACTAATTAAAGGGGGATGCGTTCCCTATCAATATAGTTTTTCTATTCTTAGGGTTCGAATTCGAAATGTCTGATTAAAAGTAGATTGATTTTATCTTTCCTACTTCAACTCTTGGTGGTCCACATATTCACTACTAGTTACTTTTATTGATTATATAAGTTTTAACATTTCTATTTAAATATCTAAGTTCTTATTTCAAAAAAATTGATTCAGAAGCTTATCAATTGTTTTCAATCACCCAAGCCAAAGAAGTTCTATGTTTTTCCTCCAATTTTAATAACTTTAATTGAATATAAATATATATATATATATATATATATATATATATAGAAGTCGGCAAAGTAAGTGGGGATAAGACTAGTGGGTACCAGACACCGGGTGAAAACCTAAAAAAAAACGAAGCAGGAATAAGACTAGAGCTGTGACATTCTTTTTACTAACAAGGGTTATGATGGAGTGTTAAGTACTCTTTCATCCTTAACCAGGGGTCTCAAGTTCGAGCCTTGTGTATGAAGTCGCTTTTATTAAAGAGCGTGAATCCAAATTTAGTCGGGCCCCAACACGAGTACCGGACATTAGCTGGGGAAAAACAATGGGGATAAGACTAGAATCCTGGGATTCTTTTTAGGAAAATTTATACTTGCTTGCTAGCCGTGAAAGGCATCATTCATTTATTTCTCGGCTTAAGATTTATGTGCATATTAATAATGCGTTAAAGATGGCTACTATGGATCTATACTTTGACGAGAAAAATCACGAAGTATCAAATACAATAAGAAAGTTATCCACTCATACAATCTTGACAAAATATTAAAATTTATAATTAGTATAAAAATGAAATATTACTCCCTCCGTTTCAATTTATGTGAATCTGTTTGACTGGACACGGAGTTTAAGAAAAAATGAACACTTTTGAAATTTGTGGTCCTAAACAAGTTGAAAAGGGGCTATTTGTGTGGTTATAAAAGCTTCTCATTAAGGGTAGAATTGTAAGTTTAAGCTAGATTGTTTTCAAATTTAGAAAGGGGTCATTCTTTTTGGAACGGACCAAAAAGGAAATCGGTTCACATAAACTGGAACAGAGGGAGTAGGTTGGAAGAAGAAGATGAAATATAGGAGTATGAAGGAAAGTATCAGCTTCTGATTAGGGGAAAAAGATAGAAAATTTCATACCTAAATTCGTAAAATGCAGGAGCTATTTACCTACTATGGCAATCATAGTAATATCTTCTAATGCTAAATAACATAATAGGGATTTTATCAACATTTAGATTATCAGCATTGTTACAACATCATTTGACATTTAATGTTTTATTTAACCAAAAAAGTTAAATTATTCTTTTTCATATTCTTATTAACCCTCACAATACCCTCCTCATACCCCACTTGTGAAATTACACTGGATTGTTGTTATTAACCCTCAACCAACTTCGATTGTTAACTATGGAAAAAGGGACTGAAATTTCCTACCCAAACCTATAATGAGTTTAAATTCTATGCACTCTCAGTGTAAAAACACATCAACAATCAGGTCACTTATAAGGTAATTACAAATAAATGTTTGTCATAAACATTAATTGGTAACCTGATAAAAATGATAACGAACTTATTGTAACATGCATGTCAAATTACACGATAATATAAAAAATTACATTGCAAGTGTATATAACTTGGATCGCGATTTCTTGACGTGCAGGAGCTATTTGGAGATGGAAAAAAATTTCAAGGTATATGTGTACAAAGAAGGGGAACCTCCAGTATTTCATTTTGGTCCATGCAAACATACATATGCTATTGAGGGTTACTTCATTCATGCAATGGAAATCAGCAAATTCAGAACTTCAGATCCAAACAAAGCTCATGTGTATTTCCTCCCAATGAGTGTTACAATGTTAACACAATTCGTTTATGTGCGTGATTCCC